TTTTGAGACTTATTTTTCAATATAAGCAGAGTTTCGAGACTATCAATAAATCATATATATAAGATGTGTTTATCCTATTTCGTTCAACTATCAGTCTTTCATCACTTTAAACGAAATATGGTGAACTCATTTCTGTGTTCTGACTAGGCAGCTATTTTTTTATTGAAATTGAGCTGAATACCAGAGTCAACTGTAAAAGACATCATTTTCATAAATATTTCTAAAACTCAACAACTTCATATGGCACATATGTTGCTTGATGAAATTGAACGTGGAGCCACATGATCCGAAATGAGACTGTGAGCAACGCCACTATAAAGTAAGAAGCGAAAAGGAAAAAAATAATGGATGAGTTGAGGAGAAATTAACTACAGTACTCCACAAAGTAGCATAAGCCTATTTTCCAGGTCAGGTATGATCCTGTACTTCCGTATGCAAGCAGGAATGTGTCCTCTAACAAGTTTCATCAATCAATTTGTATAACTCACTTGGATGCGAGAAGCAGCTGCCACCTGGTCCATCGAGTTGGAAGTGCACCAAGGAATAGTAAAGTTGGTAGGAAATTTATTGTCGTCTTCGACGTGCTTACTCCGAGCACAGTACCCAGCTGTCAGCTCATCGGCTTCGGCGCTGTAGATCACTCGAGAAGGCAAATTGAAGGCACCACCAGCAGTCTCGACCACTGCTTCTCGGCTACCAAGCCAATTATCAAGTCTAGTAGACTCACTAATTTCTGGAGACACCAAAATCGTCGCTTCAACAATAGCCTCTTTAGCCTATTTAATAAAGAAAATGCCATGCCTAATAAATATGATACATTAGACTTAGACCAAATTATTTCATTTCCAATTCAAAATTAAACTATAAATAATTAAATTGGATTATACAAGACACAGAGTTGAACAAAGTTGACCCGTAAAATCCTCCAAAATCGTGTCACCAAAGTCTAGCTACAATGCCTTTATTCCATTCATGGAATAAATTTAATTGGTCAAACAGCGTTCGTTATCATTTCTCTCAAAATCAAAACCTTAAGACACTTGACGTAAGAATCCAGGATGGAGACATACATGATTATATAATATGCAATGCAAAACTTCTTTCAGGAAAGTTATTAAATAACTGTAAAGTTTTTGTTTCCATAACGATGGAAATAGGCGAAAATGGTTAATTCATTCATTTGTGATCAATTCAAGGCGAAAATATAATTTGAGGCATGAAGTCTGATCAGGATATAATCAAATTTTAATGAAAGGAATGTGGGAGAAAAAGTGCATTTTCAAGAATTTATATTGGTGTATTAATTGGACTTAAGAACTATTTGATATACATTCGGCAATAGCGCTAGTGATGCAAGATAAATCTTGCAAGATGTAAAATATTTATTTGTGAAGGTTGCTATTGTCTTAAGCAAGCGAGCTAAGGACACAAATGAAATTATGTCTTTGAAGAATGACCACTGGAATAAATTACAATACGAGAGAAAAATACTCCAAATAGAAGCCGTGCTCGGTGTGGGCTGGAGTATGCAAGGAATGGCTTGAAATCGCAAATTGCACTCGAAACGGCAAACAGTTAGGAAAAAACAAACGAAAGTATATTGAAAATAAATACAATTAAGCGCATTGGTGAAGAAGAAAAATGAAATTGTATGATACTTTGTAGTCTCTCTAAATAACCTGAATAAATCTATTCATTCGTATCGTATCTGGTGTCGTGTACATTCCTATCGCATGTCTGCCTCCCTGCAGATTTTCTGACCAAGGGGACCTATAAAACTATGAAGGTTTGAGGAAGTTTTTTTTACTACTTGGTTGAGAAAAATTAGACATTTTCAGCAGGCGCTATTAAGTCAAATTAGTTTACAAACTTTTTCATTAATTACAATAACTCAATAAACTTTTCCATTGGTTAAACCTCGCCAGCAAACTATAAATGCTGTGCTATGGGGATTTTACAAATTAATAATTGTACCCCTAACCAGGGTTTAGATGTCTGCTTTTTCAAAATTACAAATTAAATGACTAATAACATAAGTGACATCTGTAAAGTCAATTAGAGTATAGCTTCAAATGATTTTGAGGATTCAGGCCAGATAAATCCTGGGCTAGATAGGTTATTTGCCTTAATTAGATATGAAGACATTGCTTGTGAATTTCAACGTTGAAAATTTCACAAAGGTAGAATTTGATAGTGAGTTCCACAATAAGTCAAGCTCGCCTTTCCATTGGTTAAGTATGGGCAGTCGAGTTGTCATTTATAAAAACAGCAGACAGGCTAAAATGTGGAATTCGTTGACTGTATGAAGAATATGAATCCACAAAAAGTATTATAATATTAGCAATTCCAAACCATATAGAAAAAAAGAGTTTTTAAAACAAGGTTAACGAGGCTACGGAAAACCTACTAGCCAGTACAAGCCGAGCAAAACTATAAAAGACCATCGAAAAGTTCACTGCGAGTGAAGGAACCCTTGTATGTTAAAAAAGTCTTCATTGAAAAATTACGAAAAATATAGGACATTAAGATTAAACAAAAAGTGAATGATCTGATAAGAATAAGAAAGCGCCCTGTATCTGGTGCATAATGCAGCTGAATACAATTTGGAGCGCCCAGTTTAAACTGCGATTTTAACGAATTAATCATGGCATAAACAAAACAGAGGCCATAGTTTGCAATGACAGAGGTCGTTACATTGACGATAGAAAAAATCGCACAAATTTAGCTGCCTTAAAAAGGATGCAGAAAGGATCCACAAGAAGACTACCCTGCCTTAATATTAAGTTCAAGCCAAAGAAGAGTGCAAAATATTTTTTTAGGTTATGCAAAAATAAGTAGACAGAAAGTTTAGGGGTTCATAAAACAAGGTTGGGACAAGGTTACATTGACGAAAGACGAGAGCAAAAGTAGGCTATAGGATTTAAATGAATACAAGTTATGTTTCGTATATAAGTAGAGTTTCGAGAATAGTTATTTAGGATAGCCGGATTTCGAGTAGAAAATTGCTCAAAGCGGGTCTAAAATGGGCCAAGCATATACTACAAGCAGCACCAATTCAATGTTAGCCCAGAGCTTAAGAAACTGCAAGCCTTGAATAAAAACCTAAAGTATCAAAGCCTTCCAAAAACGATGAAGGATGGATGTAATGCTTAAAAGCGATTCCAGAATTGCTCAAATATAGATGACATAATAGAAATTATTAGTTACAGCTAAGTAAAAATAATGGTATTGTTAAGAAAATGAGTGAAACGAAAATCCTAAGAATTAGGCCATATTAGAGAGAATCCCAAGCTAATAATATTTTTTATACATAATATTTGTTTAAAAAAAGAGAGCCTTACCCATCCTGGCCCTCTGGCCAAAATTTTGATTCGGCTGTTGGCGAACGATATTAAACTCGATCTACAAGTCTAAAGTTTAGTCCATAAAACGAGCTAATCCAGACTTACTCATTAAAACAACTCTATAGGCTGTCTAAAAATATGTGTAAAACTATATTATCAAGCCAATAAAACTTAAATATAGGTATGAAGACCAAGATGGTGTGGCCTTTTGTGTGGTCGCAGTCTCCTTTCGTTGTATAGAAGTCGTTT